GAACGGGAATGGGACGGGAATGGGGATGGCCCTGGCAGGGGACGGGATGGGATGGGATGGGGATGGCAGGGGATGGGATGGGGATGGCCCTGGCAAGGGACGGGATGGAAATGGGGATGGCCCTGGCAGGGGATGGAGCATCCCGTCCCCCAGGGATGGGGCCGTTTTGCCCAGCCATTACACCCATCACCACCACACTCCGACCTGCCCTGCCAGTGCCAGGTGCCCCGTTGGCACCCCTGCCCCTTACCTTCCTATCCCCCATGTTCCGGCCCCAAAGAAGCCCCCACAGAGCTGGCCTTTTTCTAACCCGATAGATTTATTGAAAAATTAAAAGCACAAGCTCTGTATATATAAATAGGACAATGTTGCCAGCAATGTACAAGGCCTCCAGTTGCTCTCTTTGCATCCCCACCCGTAGCCCGGAGAGCACCCGAGGGAGCAATGACTACCCGAAAAACCCACCAGCCTGAGCCACAGGCCCAACTTGCTCTGCGGCTGGCACTCAGATGACAGTGGGGACAGCCAGACCTCTGCCATCCTTCCTGCCCTGTTCCCCAGCCTCGCCAAGGGGGAGAGGGTGTTCCCGAAGGGCAGCCCCCCCCCCCTCCGAGAGGACAGGTATGGAGACTTTAAGGGATGTGCACTGATTTCTGCCCGTTCTCAGCCTGCCCTACCAAGGCAGTGAGAGCCTGCGGTGGGTGAGGGGACATTTGGGGACAAGCTGGGGGTGTCTGTGCGTGCGGGGTGGCGCAGCAGGCGAGGGCTCTGCGTGGTGGGATGCTGCCTTCACATCTCAGCGCTGCCTTTCATCCCCGTTCAGGTGCTCCCTGTCCCAAGCCACGCTTCCAAAACCCATTCGGGTTCCTAAAGGGCAACGTTGAATTCTGTGACCAAGAAATCAATGTAGTCCTTTTCCTTCAGCTTAAAGGCTTCAGCGATGATACGGGCAGCTTCCCGATGCTCTTTGCCTCGTAGCCCCGTGCCATTCACCTCCAAAATGACGTGGCCCACCTTCAGCTTCCCGCAGTTGTGTGCTGAGCCCCCACGCTGCAGGAGAAAGGTGGTCAGCTCATGCTCCCGCCACCTCCCGGCTCAACCCAGGGATGAAATACAGGTGGTTTGGGAAAAATAGGAAGTATTTAATTTCCATCATGTTCACCCTGACCTGGTGTTTGCCAGGTCAGGGTGAACATGATGGAAATTAAACATTTCACATTTCAGAAAGAGGGGATGAATTTGGCTTTGATCCTGCTTGCTCCTGGAGCACAGCGCCAGCTGGGATAGCCAAGAATAACCAAGGCGCAGTCAGCTCTGCTTTTCTTTTGCTGTAAATAATTTGAATTTTGCCCCAAGTAAACAGCAGAGGAAAACGGTGTGGGGAGACAGCTCCCAAGGGCTCAGTTCCCCAGCTATCATCCACCATTCCCCCTCCCCAATTCTCTATCAGAGCAGAAAAGGAGTTTCCAGACATCTGGAGACACCAGCCAAGCTTTCAGGGCTGCCCAGACCCCCTCTAAAATGTCTGCAGCGAATCCTTGGCTCCCAGGACGTGCCTTATAGTATGGGATCATCCACGGGACACAAAAGGAATCCTCGGCAACACCCTCCCAGCAGAATGATGCCTCTGATGTCTGGGGAGATGCAGGGCTATAGGAGGGGGAAAGCACACCTCCAAAATCCCCCCTGGGGCAGCGCTGTCACTGCGCTCTGGCCATGGCTGAAGGGCTTTCCTGAGTCTGTCCAGGGAGGAGAGGGATGGGATGTGCATCAAGTTCTTCCCATTCTCAGCCTGCCCTACCTGGATGGTGACGATGCGGGGCAGCGGCTGCCGCGTGTTTGCTCCACCCTCGATGGCGATCCCCAAGGTCGGTGCGCTCTTGGACACTCGGATCAGACACGACGTGGGCTCCAGGAGCCCTGGCTGCAGGGAGAGAGGGCAGCGCTGCTGAGGGAGGCCAGGCACCATTTGCCTGTCCCGTTCCCTCAGCTGGGGCCCCATGGCAGGCTTCCATGTGAAAGGGACAGACACGCTGCCTGCGGTTGCTCTCTGACTCCTGACATCCAAGATCGCAACCGTGTGCAGGTCTGGAAGGGCTTGGGGAGGAGCAGAGCAGCTCTCCGACTGCCTGCCTAAGCCGCTCAACTTTGCCACCACCAGAAACCCTCCAATTTACTTCTGATACCTGATGCCATCTTCTCTTCCAGGTGACAGGTGACTTTACTTATGGGACACTGTCCTGTGGACGTCCCCTCAGAGCCAGGAACTCTGCCATGTCCCAAGTAGCTGCTTGCTGGAGCTGGGAGGGACCGGATTTACCCAGGATGGAGTGAATCAGTCCTACAGTGCCCCTCTCAGCTGCTCCTGGCTCCCCTCCCCACAGCTCAGCCCACCAGCGAGCTCACTCAGCTTATCAAACAAGAGGATCAATGACCCATCAAAGCACAAAAGAGGGGTTGCTGCCCACAGGCAGAGGGAGCAGAACCGGCAGATGGCCGGACGAGGCAGCAGAAAGCAGCACTGCCCCTTGGCAGCCCCAGATGCCCACCTCCCACGAATGGCAGCAGCCCGAGGCCCCTGGGCACCCAGCCTCACCGGCTTGGCAGCCCCTTCTGCCGCCCCCTCGCTCCTCATGGCCTCCTTGAGGCTTCGGCTTTTCCCAGGGACCAGCTGCCGGTTCTTGTCCTTGCCGCTCATCTCGACCTCCCCGATGTCCACCCCGCTGTCCTCGCTGAGGGTCTGCCCGCTGTCCGACAGCTGGGAGAGCGTGGAGGCTGGGGAAAGATGAGGGCTGTTAGAGGTCAGGCAGCACAGCTCTGCGGCCAGCCAAGCACCCACAGGGCCACGTAGCAGAGGGAGGACATCTCACCCGCTCCCAGGGCTGGGCAGGTTCCCTGGGATTTAGACCTGGACTTCAGAGGGGGTTTCCCAGGTGGACCCCCGCTGAAGAGCAGAGCTGTGCACAGGAACAAGTGGCCTCAAACCCAGGTCCAGCTTCCAACCCAGATCCCGAACTGGGATGGAGGAAGAGGGCAACAAGTTCAGGGATCCTGCTGGAGGCCAGTTTGAGCCAGCCCATGCTCAACACCAGGGTCTGGGAGGAGATGGGACAGACCTGAGCAAAGAGCTACCAGGCAGGAGCCTTCTCCACTTCAAGGATGAAGACTCTGAGTGCAGATCGAGACTCTGCCCCGGAAGTGAGTGTCAGGATCAAGGGTATGACAGTACCTGCAGAGGGCTGAAGCTCCAGGAAATCGGCTCTGGGACTTGGGGTCACACTGCTGACACCCCTCGGGCAGGATCCGGCCTCCGTTCAGTGTCAGAGGCAGGCCCTCCAGCCCCTCACTCATTACCCTGAGATTAATGAACTAATTGCAGTGGGAGGACGGTGCCACAGGAGGGCGACAATGCCACTCACACGGGGTCCCACGGAGCCTGGACGCAAACAGGGGATTTCGAAGGGGGCTCACAGGGGCTCGGGGATGCTGTGGGTACCCCCAGTCCCAGTGGGTCTCAGCCGAAAGCAGAGCCCACCCTCCTGGGCACCCTCAGGGCTCCAGGACCACCCTTCCCACTCCCGCTGGACCAGAGCCATTTGCCGAGGGACCTGTGGAGCCCAGCACGCTCCTCCCTTGCTTCCACTCCTTTTTCCCGGGATATGCTCAGGATAAATCTGACCCCCAAGCTCTGTGTGGCCACCATCAAAATTCTTTTTTCCCCCAATCTGAAGTTAATGTGAAAATCCCAGAATTTCTTTTTTTCTTTTAAAACTCCACTTGAAGCAGATTTTATTAACTAATACAGCAAAGACCACACAAGAGAGAAGTCGCAATCAACTGCCTAACAGAGCTTGGTCTTTAAGCAAAGGTCAGCCTGAATTGCACTGGAAACCCAGGGAAGCTTTTAAGAGCATGCTGAATGCCGATGGGGAGCTGGCTGCCCTGTCTCAGAGATTAACACCGCTACTGCTGATAACACTGTGGAGGGCTTTATGCGTTTCCTGGATTTTCACTTTTTTTGCCATGATGCTGTCAAACTGTTTTCTGCAATTGAAAATTCACCTCGGAAAAAAAGCAAGCCAACACACAGCTACCAAACGTCGCCACACGAATGCACGCTCTGTGGCTTTTACCCTACCCTACTGACCTGGAGTTTGAACCGAAATCACAACATTTGCCCTTGCAGCCCCTCCCTGGCAGGCGCTGCCAGCCCACATCCCCACCTGGAAGGGGGAAGCCCTGCAACCAAGCCTGCTGCTCAGGCAGGGACCTGCAGCCCTCTTCCAATTCCTCCGGTTCCTGCCCTTGAGATCTGTCTCTTTGCCCGTTTCTCTCTCTCGGAACACCCCAGAGAGGGTTTTTTTCACCCCACGGCTGATAACGTGACACCCACCTCTGGCCTGGGGCAAGGGCCTCACTTCGTTGACATCGGGCTCGCTGTTGGGTTGGTGCACCTCCACCATGATGAAATGCTGGTTGGCCAAGGCCTGCGGGCTGCCCTTGTCCGGTGGAGGGGGTGCCGGGTGGGGTGGGGGAGGAGGAGGGGACGGGGAAGGGGGGCTCTGAAGCCCACCGGCTGCAGGGCCATCTGGGGGTGGGCTCTTCAGCCTCGTTGGGGACTGGACCCTGGGGAAGGGACCGATGGGGTGTTGGCTGACCAAGGAGAGCTGGGCATCCATTTGCCTCCTGGAGCTGTGCAGGGCCGGGGAAATGGTAGCATAGATAGCGCTCGGGGCAGACTCCTCGGTGGATGTGGTAGCAGTGGAGGTTATGCTGACCGTGTCCTTCTCGGGGTGGCCAGGAGGGGGACTGGGGTTTCGGGGGGCCACGAAGAAAAGGCCTGACTGAGACGACTCAGAGGAAGGGCGCTTGGGCTTGTCTTTCCCTGGGTTCCTGTGCTGGGCAGCAGAGGGGTCCAGCATCTGAGGGGCTGAAGGAGGAGGCGGAGGCTTGAAGTTGGGTGGTTCATCTGGGAAGGAGGAAATATCATCCTGCCAGACCAAGAACAGAAGCCTTTAGACACCATGCCCAGCTGCGAGAACTTCCCCAGGCTCACAGTCACCTGCATCTGCCTTCTCACAGTGACCATGGCAAGACAAGCCGATTTTCATAGAAACGCCTTTCTGACCTTACTGGCAATAAGAATATGACTCACAAATGAGGACAATTAGAGGATAAACTACCCAACTTTTGCTCTGGTTTGCACAGATGTTACTCCTATTCAGACAGCCAGAATCCTTCTTCCCAGCTGGTCCGATTAATTCGCTTCAGTGACTGCATGGGCAGGTGATGTAGCAAAGAGCTACGGAAGTTGAGGCAAAACTTGGTATCATCACTTTGCCTCCAGCTCCCCACCAAGGCGCAGCAGCATGGTCCAGTGTCTTACCAGGGAGATGTCCGGCAGGGTGTTGACACTACTTTGGTGGCTGTCTCCACCTTCCTCCAATTCTGACGTGTTCTGATAGGGCAAAGAAGGAGAGAAAACCAGGTCACAGCAGCAAGGAGCAACCACCACAGTACCAGCATGACAGGGAACATGCAGAGTGATACAGAGCATTGCCCCCCACCCCCCGCAAGGCCAGTCTTTCACCCAAAGGTTTTGGTTTCCTGGGAAGTTCCCTAGAGACTCTCACGTGTGAGCAAAGCAACTTGGGAAACCGACTCTCCCAAGCCAAGAAGCATGCTCAAAGCATGCTGTGAACCTGACCTACCAGGGCAATTTCCTCTGTAGCAGAGGAGCATGCTCCTCTTAACTCAAATCTCACTTCCTGCTGTTTAACTTGGAGGGAGGGAGGAACCAGCTCTGAGGGTTGCAGGTTCAACACTTGGATCTTTTCTGGGAGAAGGGCAATGAAAAAGTTTAAAACTTCCCCTTCTTGCAAACCAGAGCAGTTGGTCTCAGATGCAAATAGAAGCCACTGCCACTGCCTTCCCTTTATGAGTCAAAATGTCATTAGAAAATGTCACAACACAGCTCTGAACACATCACAGCTCCAGAAATCAAGAAGGGCTTTGGGAATCTGTCAGTCTGTCTGCGCAGGGGGAGCTGTCAATTGGGATGGACCCAAGGAGAGGACACGGATACAGTCAAGCAGAGCAAACAGGCACCCTGGCTAACAGCAGGGATGGCAGAACTGGGGGTGTGCAGTGGAGGCTGGGTGTGGAGCTCTGCCCTGGCAAGCCATGCCTGGCCTGGCACTGGACGGGCCTGAACCCAGCTGGTCCTGAGTCTAGCCCAGAGCCATGGTTCTGCTGCTGGCTTTGCCCCAGGCAGGCACCAGGTACTCTCCTGGGGGATGCTCTGCCAGTGGTGCACAGCCCCAGCTCCGTCTGGTTCCCCTACAAGGCCCTGTAAGAGCAAAATCAGACTCAGCAACCCCTTCCCACAGTAACTCCTGATCTGGAGAGGTGCTGCTGCTGCTCAGAAACAGTGTACTTTGTTTCTGTCACGTTCACAGGGATGTTTGTTCATTTGTGCTGGAATGGGCAGGGTACAGTTTGTGTTTAACTGTGTGTTATTTATTGCAGGGTAAACAACTGATTAGTTGAAATGCTGGTGTGCATCTGCATTTCCCCCATCTGCTGGAGGCTGCTGCTGTGCCTGTAAGATGTTAGTGTCCCAAAATAGACATGGGAGACAATTAAAAGCATTAGAGAAGCAGCAAAAACATTGATGGAAAGTGCTTTTATCTCTGTGGCTTCAGAAGGAATCCTGGAAAACGAGAACTAAAAGAAATGGCTCGTTTAGAGTGACAGGTAAAGTATTAGCTTGGGAAATAACTCCTTCCTCTGATGAAGGTTGATTTCTTCATCAATTAATTCATGTAAAGGCAGGTGGCTGTTGAAAAAGAAACATCCCCTACCCCTTCTTGAGTTACTGACCATGCGGCCAAGCTAGGGCAGAAGACAGATTTGGCTGAAACACATGGCAGCAACAACAGAAAGATCAGGCTTCAGCTAGTCCTGACACACCACAGGACCATGCAAATCCAAGCGCTGGCATGAAGGATGGGGGGATACTGTATGTCTGAGGCTGGAGGAAGACACAGGTAGGGCTATTTCAAAAGCGACCTGCCTTCATATTGATTAAAATGATCATGAACTTCTCTGTGCTGTGCATGCCTTAGCAATAGGTCTTCAGATTTAATTGAAGTACCAATGGGTTCAAAAGCTCGAGTGCCGTCGTGTCCCTGCATGACACCAAGGAGCAGAAATGCTCAGCTGGACAAAAGGCAGCACTGGGTAAACTGCACCAAACTGCACCAGTGTACTCACCACAGAGCTCCCTCCTTTTGCAGTCGTTTCCTCTAATGAGAAAGCTGTTCTGCAGAAAGCTGCCCGAGTATCACCTTCCCCCTGCTCCAGCTCCCCTCCAGATGCTGCCCAGAGCCTTTAATCCAGCCAAATGGCTGCATGCACAAGGAAAGGAGCCAAGGTGGAGATGGTGGCATTTCAGCACCAGCCTGGCCGCATTTGAGAGGATCTCAGCTGTGTCCCTAACCCTTCCCTCTCCAGCCCTGCCTCTGCCAGCCTCAACGTGCCTCCAGGGGTTCACTGAGCTCTTGGCAAATGCATGAGGACCAGATCATTGCAATACGACCAGGAGCAGACTGCCATCAAATAGTCATAGTCACATAGCTGCTAAAAAGAGGAGAGTCTGCCTGATGCCCCGCTAAAATCTGCCAGTGCCATTTCCCCCAGTCCTGCCACTGAACTCTGTGCCCATCACCATGACATCAAGCCCAACCCAGAGCACACCACATGTCGTGTCCCAGTCCCAGCCAGATAGCTAGGACCAGTCTGCACTCAGACATGAATCCTTCTGGCAAACAGAGGCCAGCTGCACCCTGTGACCTCCCCGCCAGCCCAGAGAGATGGCCCTAATCCTGCTGCCCCGGCTCTGCTCTCCCTGAACAGCCAGGGATACTAATACTGCTCATCTTCTTCAGGGCACTTTTTTCTGCTGAAGTGTGCAAGCAGGAGATTTGCCTTTCCCCAGCTTAGTACTTTTGGGGCAAAAGCAATTAAATAGAAATTGCTCTGGGCTATAAAATGTAATGGCTTTTAAGCTGAGCACATTTGCTTTCAGCAATTGGCTATTTTAAGACTGTGCTTTCCTGGATTTCCCTTGAAAGACCCATCGAAGCCACGTGCCACTGCTCTGAAAAATGAGTATTTATTGAGGAGGCTGCTACCTCCTACTGACTCTCTGCTCCTTTGCTCCATCTATTTTCTAGTTATTTATAGAAACTGGAGGCCAGGCAAGGCCCTTCCAGCCCCTCTGCAAGGTACAGCTGGAAAACTTTTGTCCTTCCTATCCTGCATGGGGTCCACGGCTGGAGCGATGGAGCTGGAGAGCATCTTTCAGACAAGCAGCCAGTTTCCATTTGCAGATTAAGTGGTGGAGAAACTGCCACCTCCCTGGGGAATACAACCCAACCTTTAATTAACCTCACAGCTCCAAATGAGTCCCTTATTTTCCAGTTACTGCTAATGAGAGCTTTGCAAAGCTACTCAGCCCGAGTCCCGCAGGGTTTAAATTTTGAACGATGGCACCAGTCTGAGAATAAACCCAGCTTTCCTCCTCTCCCCTTCCCTCTCCCACCCCAGAATGCACCCACAAGGCTGGAGGAGCCCCAGAGCCCCTGGCTCTGCCCCAGCCTGAGCACAGACCTCTCTGACTTCGGAGGCTCTGAGGGTGATTCAATGACCCACATGGTGACTTCACTCTGTCTCTATCCTCATCGCCTGAAAGGATCATGCCAAGCACATGGGAACCCTCCATATGAAATGTCTGTGCCTGTCCTGGAGGAGGTCAGAGGACAGCTGGAAGCTGGAGCAGCTCTGTAATGGAGGACATAGGTGAGGAAGATGTCCCGTTTCTCTGCTCTCATTCTGCTCTCCCTCTGGGGACACAGAGATCATCTGTCAGCTGCCACAGAGCCTGTGGGCTCTTGTGCTTGAGATTCACTTTCCAGAGAGAGGAACAGCTCAGTGCCATCTTCTCCTTACTTATACTTCTTGTGAAACAGAGACCAAAGACAGGCGGGCTAGCAACTCAACTGGGTCGCTGCACTGGGCCCAATCCTGCAAGCTTCAGGGAGGTGGGAGCAAGTCAGCGCCTGTTGAATCAGGCCCTGGGAGAATAAGGCACCTTTGGATGACAGCCTCTTTGCTAGGAGGCAGTGGAGAAGAAAAACTAAATCAATGGGGATTTCAGTTCCTTAATCCTAACAATGAGGGCTGGGGCAGGAGGCAGGGACAAAGGAAATGCTGGACTGCCTCGCTTGTAAGCAATTAGAAATTCATCTTGCTCTGATCAGACAAGTTGCATCCAATTATTGCAGTCTACAATTAACCTCTGCTTTGCAGGACTCACCTTGAGATCCAAGATTTACAGGAGGTGATAGTGACACTTAGATTGGCAGACACACATTATCTGTGGGTAGCACCATCAAACACGGCTTTGTCTCATCTCTGAGTATCCTTCAAGCTTCCCATAACGGAATCACTTTTCGCATGGCAGGTGCTGATCAGCCTCACACTGGTTATTTTTGGCTGACCCCTGGAGAACTGATGGGACAGGGGTCCTGGTCTAGCGTCACTGCCTTTGGTCATGAAGCCAAAGAAATACGCATCCAACAGGTCAGGGTGCCTGCGATAAACTCAGTCTGGGAACAGTACAGCTATCCTCTTCCAGATCAGTGCCATTCCCAGAGGGATGTGGCTTTTGGGCTGGGTTCACAGCTACCAGAAGTCCTCTCTCCCAAAGCAGTACTAGCAGCTCTCAGCTCCACCACTTGCTGTGTGTGCTTAACCCACTGATGCCCGTGATTTCCTCCCAGACAAGGAGGAGGGAATGGACTCCACACCACAGAGCTGCGCTGCCAGGGACAAGCCTGCAGCTCTTCTCAGCTTCCTCCCAACCTAGAGCTCTGTCATAACAATGGGATTTCTGAGGCTCTCCCCACATCCATGTCTAGCCTTTCTAAAGTCTGTGTGAGGATTTCTCCAAGGCTGAACATGCACAACGCGACTACACTGACCCCTCCTGCGCTGGAGCACAGATTTTTGCAGACGCAAAGCCCGTAAGGAAAGTTCTCCCCCATCCCTAAGGATGCATGATGGGATGTGACCAGCCTACTGGTATTTAGTCAGGGTGCCCATCCAGCAAGACAGCACAGCAGCAGGTAGAGCAAGCAACAAGGCAGGAAGGGCAGTATGGGGTCCATCGGGCTTCAAGGCTGCTGGTCCTTCTAAAACCCCAGCCCTGAGCTGTCACTGGCACTCGGGGCTTTAGTGCAAGCAGGACACTGGTACCAGCTGGGTTTGGTTCCAGGCTGAGTCTTTTCTGCACTGCAGCACCAAGGCCTGCAGCCGTGCTGCTGAGCTGGGGAAAGGAACTCTGGAATGGCTCAGCAGAGCCACAGGAAGAAAAGGCAGAGACTGGTGAAACGAGGCGGCTGTTCACGTGGCTGAGCCGCATGCTGGCCCCTGGACGGCCTGTACCCCGCCTCCCGCCCGACGCACATTCACACGCACTCTCAACCCATCTACTATGGCAACCGCAGTACTCGAGCTCCCCGTCTCGCTGACAGCCCCTACCTCCATCAGGTCTATTAGCCACAAGAGCCGCTCCTGGGGACGTGCGAGGGGAAAAGCAGATTAAAACAAGCATAAAAGCGAAAACATAACATCAGGGAGGATGCAGAACAAATGAGTGAGACAAGCAAATCCCAGCACAATGCATCCCTCCTCCCCCCAAACCCACCCTGCAGAATCCACATCCAGCTGCATCCAGCACTGAATGTGAAGGCTGAAATGAGCCCCTCCTGCGAGAGGTGCTGGGGAGGGCAACAGCAGCAGCGGCTTAGGGCAGAAGAGGGCAGAGGAAACTATTTGGAGCCCTGCCCCTCTTCTCTCTCTCCTGCTAGCCAAGATAAGCGCCCATCCACACGAGCTGCTGCTCTTGGCTTGGCAGTTGTTTCAGCAAGCAGTGGTGACAACCATCTCAAGTATTAGTGCTCCCAACACCCGAGGCAGAGCTCAGAGGGGTGTATGTTCTTACGCCCATGGAAAGAGGTGCCACGCTGCCAGGGAGGACCTGCAGTGTGACCAACGGACACATGTTCTTGAAGGAAGCTCTTAAAACAGTGGTGCCCACTCTCTTCTCTGTGCCAGAACAGCACCCCGGCCTCCCTCCCCAGCCTCAGGGCTTGTGTGCCAGCTGGGGCTGGGCCATCGCTCACACACCAGGCCAAGCAGCCACGCTTGGCACATGGTGTCATGCAGCAGGATGGAGAGCACAGTGCACCCAAAGCAAGTGGTACAGCCCCAGGCACGGAGATAGCATGGGAACAGGGTGTCACGCTTAGCCCCCAAGTCCTGGCAGACCTGTGTGAGCCCTCTGATACTTTGGAAAGATGTTCCCAGCAGGCCTTCAGAGAGCAGAGCAAAACTCACTTTGTTTATCCTGATCCAGAAAGGATCTCACCGTAATCCATCCTGAACAGAGCAGATGGCTTTCCTATGGGTATTTGTGAAGTCAACAGGACAAAAACACAGCTCATACTCTGAAACTCTCTGAGGCCTCTTGGGAAGCTGGACCAAACTGCATAGGCAGGACCAAACTGCGTAGGCAGGCACAGTCCCAGGAAAGCCCCCCGCCTCTCCCCCCTGCTGGCTGTGTTGCCTGGGCCCTTCACAGCACAATCCCACAGGTCCTGGCTGTGGGCTGGTTTGCTTGCTGTTGAACTAGCAGAAAGCCCATTGTCATCCGCTCTTTTCATGAAGGTTTTAATTTCCAAGGTTGCTAATGCATTTATGATGAAAGGCATTTTATGGCTAGGAAATTAATTTGGGGGCTGTGTGCCTGCACACTCTGAGGTGATTACGATAACTTAATTAGATGGTGCCTGCAATGAAGGCTTGGCAGAGCGACGTGGGAGCGCTGCCGCTTAATGCTGGAGAGTGGGCAGGGGCTGGGACAGGATGCAGCTGGCCTGGCTGCTGCAGTCCCCGCTGGGACAGGGAGCAGGCAGCTAGTGTCTTTAAGGACGTGATTTAAAAGCGACAGCCATAGCTGGTGAATAGCGGCAGGCATGGTGTGGCAGTGACAAGTCGCAGAGATTTCTGTGTGGATGCAGCTGACGCTGCACAGTGGAGGTCCTGGAAGGGAGGCAGAGTTCCTCCCTTGCTGGGGACGAAGTGACACTTAGCACCAGGCCCAGCCCCCATGCAGAGGACAATAGCATCTCAGTCTCGGGGGCACAGAGATACCAAGCACGTGTCACTGTATCACCTCATTGCTCCTACAAATCACACTATTGCACCCTGCCTGCAAGGGAAAAAAAAGCTTTGGGGGAATCCATCGGGGAAGCAGACTGAACAGGGTTTCCTGCGGGGTAAAATGCCTTTATAGCACTCCAGGGAAATGAGTTTGTGGTAGGCCTGCCAGGAGCAGGTGTTGAAAGAAACAGGAACAGCCAGGAGGGACTTACCCGCGCTGAGCTGACAGTTGTGGCAGTGAAGTGGCTGCTGGAGGAAGAGACGGTGTCGCTGTAGGACATCATAGAGTAGGAGTCGGTGCCGATGCTGGGCCCCGAGGGCTGACGTGCCTTCATGGACTCAATCTCTCTCTTCAGCACCAGGCTGTCGAAGCGGTCGAGGTCTTGCGGGGAGATCACACCCCGCACCTCTGAAAGCAGTGAGAACTGGGCCAGGCAGACAGACAACCAAAGAGAGGTTGGAGCACGACCATATTCCTGGGTAGGTGAAGACCCATCCTCCCACACTGTTCAACAATGGCAATGAGATGTACTGGCAGGTAACACACGAGGAGGTTTGGTCCTAAACTTTACCAGAACCTCCTCTGCCACTGAACACCAGCCTGTATCCCCCACAATATCCCACAACTGGATTTTGCTTTCATACCCTCACCCTTGACCCTGAGCAGATAACCTTGGAGGCACCGAGCCACACTGTGACAATGGCTCTGCTCAGTCCACTGGGTACAAGAAACTGGCCCGGATCCTGGTGTGGGCCTCACCTTAGCATGTGTGTTGAGTAGCTCGAAGAGCGCCATGACCAGAGCATCCACGGAGATGTTGCCTTCCTTATACTCATCAAGGTAATACCCCATGGTCGCCCGCTCCTGTTCATTCAGTAGGTGCCGTGCCTGTTCCTCCAGCATGACTCGGGTCTGGTTCACCATGCTGCTCAGCGTTACCTGGGAGCCGGCCAGGCCCCGGTAAAACACAGGCTGCAGAAGACAGGAGATAGGCTTTGGCCTGGGGTGCCAAGAAATCAGCTGCTGAAAGGAAGGCAGCTGTCTCTCTGCTGAGACAGCTGGGCAGCATAGGCAGGACCGAGAACTGTCCTCTTGCTCTGGGCTCTGCCCACCAGCCCAAGCTGCCTGCGTTTCAGATCACTGCTCTCACCCAACTACCTGTGGCAAAGCTGGAAAGGGGGACTGGAAGGGGAATGCCAAGAATGACTGGAGACAGGTACCCCCAAGGATTCACCAGCACGGCTGCTCACTTAGTGTCACTACTTGTCTGGGTAACTCCAGAGCCATGAGTTTATGCAGCACCAGTTGAATAAACAAAACGGCTTCCCAGCTCTGTTCAGCAAGCATGGATGCTGTCCCTTGACCAACTATTGATTTAACAGCAGCCTGTGTTCTTTCCTGGCAGACCTCGGGGAACTGGGGCCACACGAGAGAGGCAAGCTTCCCATCTTGTGTAAAAGGCAGATCTGCCACCGCTGCAAGCTTGAAGCAGACCCTGGTGAAGAAAGAGCCACTGGCAACCAAAGAAGTCCCAGGGAGAGACATGTCTGGCTGCAGATGAAAGGCTTTCTTTGAGAGGGATTTCTAAGAGGAGGTCCTTGCTGTTCCCCTCCCAGGCAGCGTTGGCACAGTCAGCGCAGGGATATGGAGCCAGACAAGACCCTGACTATCCCAGAGACACTGACAAGAGTTGAGGCTGGGGAGCATGTCTTGCCAGCTAACAGCACAAAGCTGTTATCAGTGAGAGCCACCTGCGAAACCTTGCTGCTTCATTTCCATTTAAAAGAAATGTGCTTTGCAAAGAGGTGTTTGGACAAGACATGCTAGCACAGAGCTCCAGTCACAGCACTGGGTAAGTCCCTGCCACTGCTGCAGCCCTGCCACTGGCTGGTGTGCTGGAGAGGGCTGGCTCAGCTCTGCTTTGGGGTGGGAAAGATCCCAGGAACTGTCAGGACCCAGAGACAGCCACCATGTGGAAGACATCATGGTCTCCTCTGCAGGGTAGAGGAGGTCCCCACAGTCCTTGCCTGTGTGTGATCATTGCCCCTTGCCCATTAATGTGATCGCTCCCAGGGTAGGAGGCACCAGATGTGCTGCAGAACTAACTCACCAGCAGCACAGGAGAGGGGGTACACATTATGTCACTGTTTGGAGAAACACAGCTGACAACATGAGGTGGGGAGGAGAAAGGCTAGAGTCCTCATAAAACTAGCATCCCTTTTATAATCAGGAGCACAAAGCCCTCCCTCCCATGGAAAATAAGAGACAACAATGGTGATTTTTTCACAAGGCATCAGGAAGGCCTGATATCTCTTACCCTGGCTGTCGCCTCCGCAGCACGGTCTCCCACTGCCCTGCGAGGAGGGAGAAGATCAGTGAGCACCCGGTGCCATATGCCCATCACTCATCACCTGAGGCCTGGCACAAGATCTGTTGTGTACTCTCCTCTCTGTGCCTGTAAGCTAAAAGCTTCTAACGTGAGAGAACACGGAAGGGGCAGCAGCATGTTGTTCAGACCTGATCCATCTTACAGGTCAGAGATGCTGTCTTCTAAGCACTGGATATGGGGGCCACACACCTGCGCACCGGGGGTGCTCCCATCAACAGGTTGCCCGTGCACATTGCAGTGCATCAGGCTGCCGCCATTTTATGTGCTGGGGCTCCACACCCACCCTGGGTGACTGTGTGCACCCTAAAGGAGCTCTGAGTTGACAGACCTACACAGCAAGCTTGTACGGGGTGTACCAAGCACATACCCTGCTGAGTTGACAAGGGTCTCTCCGATCTGGGAGCTTGCTATCCACCTGGTCTCGTCCACAGTGGTGCGGGCATGGGGCAGCCTCCCGATGTCCTTCACCGTCATGATGAGGTGGCGGGAAGACTTGAGCAGCTTCACCGCCTCGTCATGGGGGATGCTGAGGAAGCTCCTGCCGTTCACCTCCAGGATCTGGTCTCCTACCTGCAGAGTCAGGATGGGGTGAGCCTGGCAGGCCCTAGGGGCTTTCCTGTTAGGAATATGCCTTCCTCTCCCACCAGGGAGGAGCTACTCAGTCTAACCCACCACAAAACTAGGGACATGGCAGCTGGAGGGACCAAGAAAAATGAGGGAGAGGGGCCAAGTGCTGGTGGCTGGACACCAAGCACTCAAGCTGACAGCCAGGTCAGGACCTGGCTGTGAAGCCTAAAGGAGCCTGATTAGGATCCCAACTCAGACTAATCTGCCCAGTCTCCTCCATTAACTAGATCCGCAGACCAACTTGGTTAAAACAGCCCCCAAAGAATATCAAGACCTCCAGCCCCAATCCCTCCCACTGATCTGGGAGGCCAGGAACCATCTGCAGAAACCCCAAACCTCAGATCTCTGCGTGCAGCAGGGAGGGTTCAACTCGAGTGTCTCACCACAGTCTCCAACGCTCTGTAAACTGTAGGACCTGAGTCAGCTAGATTTCATCTCTCCTCTCCTTCTCTTTCCTCCCCTGCTGCTCCCGAGAGCTTTCATTTTGTGGCCAGGGCCTTTGCTGTAATCAGGAGCTTCCCTGACAGCCCGGCCATGTTCAAGACACAGCACTGGTCTGGCATTTCCCCCTTCATCCCAGGTCCTCTTTCTCTTTGCTTCTAGGGCATTCAGTGTCACTCCTCCTCACTCCCATATTACAATTCACCTTTTTTCTGATAAGCCACGTCTTTGAAACTGCTCATTCATATCTTTGCTTAACCATAGGCTTCTGTTCAGCTCTGTCAAAACACAGTCTTAGTTTGTTTATGCTGCAATGCAAGCAGAATGAGACGTTCCTTTAAATAACTCACCTCCATGTTGAAGGAGAAGAGGAGAAAAGAGGGAGGGGGGAGAATTTCTAAATTTAAGATAATAACATGGAAAGTCAATATGATCCTTTCAGTTCAGCCCATCTCATTCTGTCACTGGGTTAAGGAAGCCTCAGAGGACTGGCATTAATTCTCCAGACTCTTACTCCAGTGAGAAGCTATGATTAACCATTGCCAAGTTTGTGTGGTGGGCTGTGACTCTGCTGACACCCAAGTTTCCCCCAGTGCTACCCAGAACTTTGCTGGGGTGAAAGCAGACATCAGGAGTACCACCACCAACGCTCATCTCAGCATAAAGCGTGAGACATCTGTCGACTGCTCCAGCAAGGAAGGGAAGCCAGTTGCTGGTCCGAGGAGGCAGCAGCTGATCCTGAAACTGCAGTACAGCCCCTGCACTTGGACTTTGCCTCTGTTTTATGCTACAGCCGTGCTGAAGCTCACAAGAGCACAGGGCCAGAGCTTGCATCAGCTACTCTCCAGGCACAGTGCTGCCAGCTGAGATGGAAGAAGGTCGGGACCTGTGACAGCAGGACAGCCACACATATGGGCAACGTCCCTGCACACTCCCACTTGATTTCTGCTAGCCTGTGCTGCTATGCCTGTGGCATCCAGATGGTCGATCCTACAACCACTGAGGCTTCAAGGCTAACAGGACCCCTGTCAAGGCATCCACTGCTCTCACTTTGTCTTCCTGGGACAATGTTTCCCTTCCACTAGTGCATCCAGTGAAGCTAGTGCGAACCGAGGGCAGAGTGGCCATACCACAGTGTCATATACAGCGTTGATAAAACCCGACCGTGGCTTCTCCCAGCATCCCTGTGAGGACATCCTCAGCAGAGCGAGCACAAGAATGGGGAAGAAAAGACAGAATTCCTGCTGCTTGGGCCAGAAGAGACCCCTGATCACAACCCTGGCTGTCTTGAGGTCTGTGGTGTGACAGACACTGTTCAGACCACCTGAGAAGTGATCTTTATGAGAATCAAGTAGAGTGAAGGAGAAGAGTGAGCTGGTGGAGAGTCCCTGAGTGGCAGAAGTGAACACAGCTTAGCCCAGCTCTATCAGAGGCAACAGGGGCAGCAGGACCCTGGCTCTGTCCTCATCTCAAGAGCCACTGATCTGCCTCTGTCTATCTGAAACTGATGCTAATCCCAGTCCTGAGAGTCCTGCTTGGGTGAGGGTGTTTAGTGAGCAGAGTCTGACTCTGCCAGCAGCCACATTCAGGGACAGTTACCCAGTGGTGAGAAGCTGTCTCAGCTGCAGTGTAACCAGCGAAGGGTGCACGGTACAACTGGGAGCATAAGCCAGCGCCTCAACAGCAGCATGACTGACCATTTCAGACAGAGGGTTTTAGGCTGGGAGCTACCATCAAAGCAGACGCCGCAGTCCAGCCCCGTGGGCCCCTCTCATACTCTGCAGTGCTGTGGTCTCAGCATCCCATTTCTGCCAGGTTTTTTATATTCCTGTGGCATGAGGGCACCTCACAGACAGACTGCTACAGAGCAAAGTTGGCTTAAAAGCAAAGAAAAACACCATTACCTTGAATTACGCTCCTCCCAGCCTTCAAAGGGAGACTGCAGCAGTTTAATTACCTATTGCATTTTGTTTTGTTTTGAAATAAGTCTAAAAGAAAATTCCAGGTGCCATTTACAGGGGCCCTGGACCTGCACTCCCAAGTGGTGCCAGGCACCAGGCACTCCGGCCCCACTGCAAATCCAAGCCAGGACGCAGAAGCCTGGAGAAATTCTTAGACCCATGATCCGCACAGAGAGGCTGCAGAGCACTGGGGACTCCCCTTCATGCAGGTGAAGACTGTCAAAGCATTAGCTGATCAACACAAGGCTGTTTCCAAGAGGGAGGCTCTGGCTCTTCTCATCCAGCTCAGCACTCACAAGCATCCCTCCCTTCACTTGTCCCACAGTAGTGACCTGGCTCAGTTAATGAATCTGAGTGAAACTCACAGCTGCTTCTTGCAGGGTCAGCTTTCAGCTGGTTCAGCTCTCTCATCTGACTACCCACATGGCTACAGGGTCAGGCAGCTGCTGTGGGGTGGCAGGAAGCCCCAGGACTGTCCTGGACTGGTGGGTGGCCACCATGATGCAGAGAGGTGGCATGGCCTCAGAGCAGCACAAAGCGCCAGGAGCACTTCACTTGCTCCAGCCTGCTTTCCAGAGGAGGGCAGAAGAAATTCCCCAAATCCACTGCATGGCACTTGTGCAAACAGGTATTGCTCGGGCTATTTAAGGGATTACAGAGGCAGAGTTTCCAATGCCAAGGAGGCACAGCAGCTTCACTCCCTGTCCACTGCAGGGCCATGGAGACCTGTGTGCTCCTCTGGCCTTGCAAAAATGGATGCGGAGGGAGAGATGGCACAGGATCTCCCTGAGAAGCAATAAAGAAATGCAAAGAAATAGGAGAATCTGAGGGTTATTGAACATCCAGAAGGTGGGGGAGAAAATCCTAAGATGCCTGCAGCAGCAGTGTGAGGGTGAGGCCAGGAGGGAGTCAAGATCTACCAGCAACACTCAACTATTTGGGTTAGTTCAGACTATAGGTGGCAGAAAGGTGGCAGAAGGGGCTGGTAAAGGTGCTTTGAAGAACCAGGCAGGACTTTGCCACTGGCCGAGATGCAACTGATGCCTCTTGAATGACCAGAGAGGACACAGGCAAAAGTCTATAATCAACAACTCATGGACCACTTTGCTGAGGGTGCAGCTGTGAGAATGATCAAGTAAGCCTGCAATAAAAACATGTGATGGGAAACTGTGGTAAAAACCATATAGAATAGCTCTAAAACTAGTGTAATGGCAATATCCAAGTGAATGCGTGACCTCTCTGTGAGTGCATCCCCTGGTTACATCTCTGCCTGCCCAGCAAGAAGACACAGAGAGAAGAGTTCTAGAGAAGGAAAGCAAAAATGATTAGAGCAGATGAAGGTGCCTGTGAAAGGACAGATCAAAAAGATTAGGTCTGTTAAAATTAGAGAAGAGATAATGTGTGGGGAGCTTGATGGAGCTATACAAAATAATGCTGGCAATAATGAGAAGCCAGAGAAGGGCTCCTATTTACCCTTCCCTCTGATGAAAGGACAGAGGATGCTCAGTGAGGCTGGAAGGATGCTCTGAGTGGCATTGATAGGAGAAAAGGACCTGGAGCAAGAGCACCACAGAATCACAGAATTGTTTAGGTTGGAAAAGACCTTTAAGATCAATAAGTCCAGACACAGCTTGACTGCAGCAGAGCTCGGTTCTGTGTTCAGCTCCATCCAGTGACCTCGAGCACACTTGCCTCATTCTTCTGGGGACAGTTCCTTCCTCTGTGACACACAGAGGGGCTGGCGCATAGCAAGGGCTGTGGCAGCACAGGAGAGCCCAGTCCCTACCAACACGACTGTCAGGCAGGGCCCCTAAGTTTTGTCCTCACATGGGTCAGCCGATGCCCTCTGCTTGCTGTCTTTATAACTGCTGTTAACAGGGCGGCTGCACAGCTAATAAGGCAAAAGAGATGACGCAGGTAAGAGATAAACCCACAGTCCTATGGCCAGCCAAGAAGGGAGCCAACGCCTTCAAGCTGGGCTGATGCAAGTCTGCAGCTGAAAGGGAAGAGGGATGACGTGACAGATGCACTGCAACAGCCACTGCAAGGCCCTGGTGTTGGCACGGGCCAGGTCCTGCTGCACCATCTTTTGCTTTGGCTCCAGTAAGATGCTCAAAGAGCAGGTCCTGCAAACAGAGCTGCCTGCTCTTGGCTGGCTTTCCCTTTCTCTGACTTTCCCTGTGGAAGGACGAGAGACAGCACTGGGCACGGGTCAGACTTGGCATGACCAGGGGATGGTGGCCCTTTGCACCAGCTGGCTGGAGGGGAGAGAGCACAGAGCAGAGCTGTGTCTGGGTGGGATACTCACACCTACGCCAGCAGACTGCGGAGCACAGATTGGTTGCCAAAATCATATGCTAGGGATGTGAAACTTCCCTGGTTTGAAAGAAAGACAGCCTGGAGCCAACCTCACCTCTGTGAACCAGCTGCAGAAAGAGAGCCAGAGGCAGCCAGCTCCACCTGAGCTCATCCACAGAGATGAAGAAATGGGAAGGGAGGGAGGGAGGAAGGCAGCCCAAGGGAAGGCAAATGACACAAATG